ATGCGCGGCTCGTTTCGACCACTTACGATGATTACGAGAATAAAAATTAATCGTCGACTAATCAGTCGAATATCAGCTGGATCGCGTAATAACGGAAAATCGTGTCAGTTTTTATTTCAGCCCGACTATTACGTCAATCTTTACACGTGAGTAATCGTCTATCAAAGTGCTTAAATCGTTGATCTAGAGCTATACTGGTTACTCGATGTCCATAAGCACCGCGTTATTGCCCAATAAATATTGAGTTGGCTACTCAATACTTCATCGTATTGCTAGCGAATAACTACGCCTATGGTAATTGACAGCTATTTTCATTTCGCTCTCCGGGTCAATTAAAATATACTTACTGCTCTTCGTCTAAATTTAAATGACTTTCAACTCCATCCATTCAAAAGCAGAGAATAAAAATCAAATTTTTCTCAACCCATCGACATTTACCATTATTTTGGGACAAGTTCGACTTTCATCTTCTTTATTCCATGATCATTTCAATTGCACGATTCGCTTGTTGCTCTACTGTTCTAAGGAATATTCCCTCGGAACAATTACCAGAATGATTACTCAAAAAATAATGATTATAATCGATAAGTTGTTCTCTAGAATGAAATGTTCTTTGAACAGCTCGTTGACAAAATCAAGAGAGCCATGGATTGAATCGCCGTTCTCGTATATAACGTTAGACATGCCGCTCTTATTCCACCTGAATTTGAATGACTTTTGACTCGTGCATCGAACAGGAGAAGATAAAACTCGAATTTCCTCCAGACAATCACCATTTGCCATTTCTTTAGTCAGCTTTCATCTCAGTTTCATCCCCTACCATCACTTCGACTGCGCGATTTCTCGAACGTTCTTTCCACTGTTTTACGATTACCATCTGGAACGTTGAGGTTTTCTCTGGCGCAATTTTATTTCGTGCCTCATAGTAATAGAATGATGGAGGAGGAGGGGAGGGGGGAAACAGCACGTACTGTAAGAGGTTGGTGAAAGTAGCCGTAAAGTGCAACAGCAACGTATCGTGAAGAGAAAAGAATTATTTCGCAATAGCAACCGCGTGGATCGAAAACGTTGATGCGTGCAGCCGCGTATCCCGTGGGAGAGAAATTGAATAATTTAAGAAGAATGGCTCTCGACCACAGGTGATACCGGCTTACGTATTCCACCTGCGTTCGTACAGTTCGCCTTGAAAGCAGAAACACGAACATCCCGCTTAAGCCTGTGTGCATGTTGAGCTTTCGCGTCACGCATCTTGTATTCTCGAGTGAAAGCGGTGTGTCGTCTATTCATTTATAATAAAACGTTGTACTGCGATTAACGACCACGGTTCAATGCTTCTAACGAACGTTGGATACCGTCACGAATTCCTTGTTACAGAAAAGAGCTGTACGAAGCGAAGAGAAGCGTCGTTACGAATGAATGAATGCGGGATAAAAGATGGAAAGTGTATTTCCCTGGTTTATTTAGTAAGACGTAGAGGTTGGAGAGCAATGAGATCAAGAATGAATTCGTGATTGCGAAGAGACCTCTTTCAAACGACTAGTTTTAAGAATGAAACGGTGAAAGCGTGAAATTCTATTGAGCGGAGGTGATTTTTTTGCTCGCAAACGTGAATTAATATTTGAAAATCACTTTAACACTAGAATTATCTGTTCTTCTTTCATTTGGAATTACGCAACGAATTGGTACATGCTATTGATAGAGTTTTGAATCGAAATATAATTATGTGAGTTTTCTAGAAACGAAATTGATCAACTGCAATTATTCAGGGGGCTGTTCATAATTATTTCGCTTTATTTATACATTTCCATAACCGATAACGTGTCTATATAGATCGGGGTTAGGTAGAAACACTTTATTTCATATTCTAAAGGCAAAAAGAATGATCGATGTCGAGTTCAGCTCGACGTAGAACTACAAACGAGGATAAAGTAAACTATAAACATATAAATGTTTCTTAACAGATGATGTAAATGAATGCTTTTATTCCTTAATATAAGATAAAAATTAATGTTTTTTAATGTTAAACAAAAAAGTATTATGTGCCCAAGATTTCTCAAGCACGAAAGCTAATATTCCAGAAATTGATGATCTTCGATGGATTTTGAAAGGAGTTCGCGTTTACTTGTTCTTTTTTTTATTTTTACTTTTTTTCTATCGAATTCGTAACCTTAAAGAAGAATAAAGTACCGACTTAAAATCTTCAAGAGACTTTGACTTTGATCGTACGATCTTCCAACGATCTCTAGCTTGAGCCCTTAAACGAATTTCTCGTCGATGCTGCAATCCTCGCACGATCTTTCCCCGAAGCTTGCAACCTTTTACCGACTTTACTACCGAGCTTACGATCGCGCTATGGTTTAAAATAAGAAAGAAAATAGTCTCTCATCAGTCGAATTCGACTAAAATTCTGACATGCACTGTACTATATCCACGAAACGAAGGATAAGTTTAACACCATCTTCAGGGCAAACGGCCGGAACGCGACCGCTAATTTGAAAATGCTCCTCGCCAAGCACCGTTCATTTATTCGTATTAAACGCTTTACGCGGAGTCTGGAGTTTACGGTGCAGTAAAGTGCTTGTGACGGCTTCGAGGCTCGATTTTCTGTCGCTCGAACAATTTAGTTCGCGAAGTCGGCGAGAGAAAAATGTGGGAGGGCGAAAAAAAGAAAAAGACAGCGTGTGCAGTGAAACTACGTTTCCTCTGATCCGCGGATTCAACGCGACTTTTCCGGTGTACACGTGTTACAAATCGACGATTCTCGTGATATAAACGTCGGTTTACTTTATACTCGCCCACCAACGTGAAAAAAGATCGGCCATCGTAAAAAGGATTCAAACGTGCAAATTACGGTGGAAAATTATTGCGTTAGGACGTGAAAACTACTCGCGCCGTTATTAACAAGCACGAGTGGTCGAAATGGAGTGAAAACCGTGTAACGCAAACCATGATGCCTATAACACGGGAAACTGTTAATTTCAACATTGATTCAAACTCCGTGGAAAGTGTAGAAACCAATCTACTCTGCAGCGATAATTGAGTCGAACTTCGATGAATTATAAAGAGTCTTCTGGATTTTTTGCAAATTCATATGTTCGAAAACATGATCGAAAAAGTAGAACGTTGGTAAAAAATTGTGTTATGTGCCAATTGTATTATGAAAAATACTAGATACTGTTGATATTTTCTATATTTTTTTCACGTTACGCGCGTTTTCTGCAATGTTGCGTTTCCAAATTTCCTAGAAATGCATAGGTATATCCGCGATGTAATTATAAATACGGAACAAATATCTAACCATATTCGCGCGCGCATGAATATCCTCGTGGCACGTGATTCAAGAGAAGAATGGAAGATCGATGAGGCGTGAAGTTTGGAAGAACGTGCCGTTTCAAATTCATCGTTTTATGGGACAATGTCCGATCTCTCGATTCTTCTCGGTTTGGCAAACGATAGATAAATTTACGAATTTTCCTGCAAAATATTCCAGACGTGTGCGTTTTGTATCGAATAAACGTTTCGCAGAGAGCGCGTGTTATTTATTCCGCTGCGAGTTTACGTCAATTGCTCGTTGTACGTTCGCTCTGACAGAGATCGACACGCGTCATCCAACGTTGTAAATTAATTTTTCAAAAACCGTCACGTTAATAGGAAGACAGGCCGAAACTGGACGCGTTTGGCAAATCGTTTTCGCAAAACGATGGTGCTGGCGTGTCTGTTTCGTTTAAAGGCTCGCTACCTGGCCAACGAATAAACTGATTATGCGATTGTCAAAACGTTTGCTAAGCCTTCAAAGCGACGACAGCGTCGAAAGACTAATTACAGAATGTAACAAGCTAGTTGCCTCTGCTTCAACGTCCACCGTTTGCTGACAAATGGATGCTACCTGCAATACCTTCGCCACTGACTGCGGATAATTAGCACGAGTGTAACCACTACTCGCTAGTGGAAGTGAAATTCAAAGGATAACGAAGATTGATGACGTTGACTAGGAATTTAGCTTGAAAATTGTCAAATTTTAGGTACTTTGTCTGTAGGGCGAGCAAGATGCCATATCATTATCCATGGAAAATGTTGGAGAGTTCCGTTAGGCCAGATTTATGATACGGTAAAATACAATTGTTATTTTATAAATAACTTTAATAGTTCGTTTCATGATACGTAAGTAGAAGTTTAGATTTGCCACTCAATAATAATTTAATTGACTTGTAACATTATTTGGATATATTTTTAGTTCATTCACATCACTAATTTCACACGACATAGTTAGGCTATAAATTTCAAAATTGAATTATAAAGAAAATTGAAAATTGTTGCGCCCAATTTTTATTCAAACCAGAGAACCGAATTTCAACTATAAGGTAGTACAACACACCAAGTTGATCAATTTTTATTGCACCTACTTGGAACTGTAATCGTTCTTTTAACGCTTAAACAAATCAAAGTTAAACTATGCATAATTACCATATCTATCGGTGTATCCATTTATCAAAAATTTCCCCCACCCCCACTACTTTCGACATTAATCTACTCGAAGAGTTTACGCATCCGGAAAATCTGCTACCAGCGACCATCTTTTATCCGGAATTATTAACCGAAGAAAGTAATATGTGGAATTTTCATCGAAAATGAAACGAGAATCGTTCAGCTTCGTGCTTTTCGGGATTCCTTGGTAATCAGCTTATGAATTATTTACGCGAGTTCCGAGGACCGTGCGCAACTAACCGGATGTATGATTAAAACGGCGACTCCCGGTGAACCTAAAAGTTGCAGCGAACCACCTCAAAGCACGCGCTAAAATCGTGTAGATAGGGGATCTTGATAACGTCACCTATTTCAATGCTGATGAAACAGACTGTGAAATGTTTTGAAAGCATACGATTTAGAGTTTCCTACGAGTAATTATGCGGAAAGCTTAAGTCGCTGTTTTAGGGAATGTTTGCTCGATCTTCACGCGATGGAGTACTTGGGGGATTTTCTAAAACAAATTTTTGTTCCAGGGAACCTGTTCGTGATAGCAGCGATCCTGCTCGAGCGAAATCTACAGTCAGTGGCGAATTATTTGATCGTCAGTTTGGCTGTCGCTGATCTTATGGTCGCTTGCCTGGTCATGCCCCTTGGAGCAGTTTACGAGGTATCGAATTGTTGAATTTTTACCTGTTCATAAGTAAACCGCGGATGTGTAAACTCATATTTTCGTAAATACGATTGAAGAAATAAAACCCGAACAGTAATTTACATCATTCGTTAAATATTGCAAAGGATGTTATATTTTTATTATATGTATTTTTGCAGCACGAAATTTCCCAAAAAATACATAAAATATATCCGCAGTCTATTTATAATTTATAACTGTAATATTTATAATAGAAAACAATTCCATCGCGAAAAAAAACTCGCGTGGTAACGATTTATGAACGATGCTTAATGTTTTATTTGTTGTATTATTAACTAACAAAGTTATTATGAAAGAGGAAAATTTTAATCGACCGATCTTTAAATTCCATGGTAATTTAGCGTATTGCAAGACAAACTGAATGAGTCCAAAAATCCCAAATTTCTCGTATTATACCGTTCGTGTGGTGAGTAGAATTTAATTTTAATTTCAACGTTGATGAACGCTTTTCGCCGAAAAGGAAGAAGGACGAGGCAACTCGGCTCGTTAATTTCTTCTCTGGTGGTTAAAATTTTTCAGAAATTCATTCGAAAATTCGGTTACCGCGTATCTTGTCAAGCTACGGGTAATTTAACGCATTCATTTTACAAATACGTACAGTGGCTCGGAAAAATATTTGAACTCTTAACATATGTATTATACGAGTATAAAACATTATGAAATTTTATTATCACCGTAATAAGACAAGACTGTCCGCATTATAAACTCTAACTCAATTTCTAACCCCTATATACATTTTCAAATTGGCTCCTTTGACCAATATGATCATGATAATCGTGTTTCATTATAGCGCTAATAGAATTTCAAATTGTTTCGTATAAGACACATAATATATATTCATAAGAGGTTTCTTCAAGTATTCGCATACTTTCCTAGGCAATTTCGTAGCAAATGTAGATCGATCATAAGGTTTCTTGCCTCTAAGTTTTACGACGGAACGGTATTCGTTCAAAGCCAGCTATCGAAGATCGTTTGCAGTTAGTGGCTTTAGCCGTTCGATACAATTTGCGCCGGATTAAATTCCATGATTTAACAGAGAATTAACCAAGTAGTTGGCCGAACTCTCGTCATCTCGAAGAAATACTCATCTTGTGCACTGGTAATAGACCAGTTTAACTTTAATTGAGAAATTGAAAAAAGGATAAGAAAATAAATGGAAGAATGGACCAAGTTAATAGGAAGTTTTGGGAAAATTCGTCATTCTGAGAAAATAATCGCGGAACTCACTAGCACTGTTTTCAACAGTGAACGAGATTCAATTTCAATTTCATTCGTTTCCTCTTCCAGAGGAGCAGCAGGATTGTTTCGGTTTAATGTATTCCAATGGATTTACGAAATCTTAGAAGACTCGAGAGCTCCTGCAACTTGCAGACGATGATGTATAATTAAAACGGACTCCCCATTATGTAAGAAACTCGTTACGCCCGTCGTTCTATGAAAATTAATTACCGTTTTGAAGTTGTTAAGACGATTACCAGGCAACTTACACAATCGTTTACACCGGTCTCGAATAGTTGCCTCGTCGTTTCTATTGTCCCGAATTTCGCGTGATATGATTGAAGTTGCTTCGAAATCCTTGCATCGTGCAACTTGTTGTTCCGTAACCTATGAATCCAGAAAATAGGGAAATCGATTCTTTCGGTCGATGTTGCTGGAATTTAAGAATCTAAGAAATGAAAAAATTAATTATTCTTTCTGTCAACACGGTACTGTATTTAAATAACTTTTATGGGAAAATAACATTCCGTAGCTAGTTATTCGCTGGAGAGGATTTACGTGGGTCGTCGTTAAAGCTTTACTTTGACTTCTCGGATTTGTGACACAATATCTGAAACTTATGAATGTCCCAATCATTTATTTACCTCCACTCTGACCCGGCTCGTTGAACAGAGTACAGTTAAAGATTCTTAAGAATATAGAGAGAACCAAGAATTGAATAATAAAAAGTGGGGAATAATGGGATCTAGAAATGCAAAAATGTAGGGAAGTTAATAGCAAGGGAATGAACATTTCAGGGATTTGGAACTTGGGAAAGTAGAATAATTGGTTCTTTCTATCGGTATTACTTGATAATGAATATTTCAGGGATTCAGAAGCCAAATTGAAAATCTCATCTCATCATACTATAGGAGCTCACTACAGAACATTTAATCTAAATTAAACTGCAGCACTGAAGCAATTCAAGGAATTCGATCATCCAATTAATTATAAAGCCGCGAGATTAGTCGCTTCTGGAATAAAGTTTCGAAAATATCAATAGAATTATTGTATTAACAAAGTCAAGATTAGAATAGATTAGAATAAGAGGAAAAAATCAGTGAACGAAGATTATATTGTTGTAGCTCTGCTGTTGTCGACATATTTCCACGAGAACAGAATAATACTGCGCTCCGATTTCAATGAATTCACACCACATAGGAGCTCCGGAGTCTTCGTTTTATGTTCTTTTCGGAACTTCATCGTACCCGAGGGTCTCCCAATTCGAGCGTTCTGCGAGCAGAGTATCCAAGCGCACGTCTCTGCAAAGAGTTGCGAATGTATCTGCAACGTCTGCGTAACGCGTTCTGCATGTTACGAGAACACCGCTGGAGTTGGAGATCTTTACATTGTGTTCTCAATGCGTTTACTAAAAATGGACGATTTTTAACCGACAAATAGTAAGAAATGCAGAAGCTGTGCGTATGTATAGAAATTCGATAAGAATTCACGATTTATTACGAATTTATTACTACTAAATATAGAAATTAACTTGGTGCTGCTTTCAGATGAATTTACCATTTATTTATCAGCTTTTAGATTAATGCCTAATTCGTTGACACCACTTTGTTTTTTTCTATTATTGAAATCTTAAGAAATTGTTTCTTGTTTCTTAATTCACTGGAATCATAGGAGGATACATGAGAGAAATTTCTTCATCTAATAGCTATTATTTACACAGACTAATTAATTCGTCAAGCTGACAAACTAGTATTTAATATTTAAACACCGATTACCATTTTATTCCTTTCCCTTTAAGCAGATGTTTTATAAAACTTTTTTCGTATGTAAATTCTACGAAATCCATCTAAGTGTAGAACACAATCTAGCTAAAGTAGGCGTCTACGTTTATCCATCAAAGGGGAGATATATCAGAGGAATTCCAGGGCCTGTAATCCTCCGAAGTGAAGGTGCTCGATCTCAATCTTCGAGCAATTCCTCATTCCGTAATGCACGTGACGGATATACAGCTTCCTAGCTAGACGTCGCAATGAGCAGCTTCTTATTAGCCAAAGAAACTTCTCTACGTTATATTGTCTTAGAAATTATAGACCGCGTTCAACGCTTTCAAGATGATTTACATACGGCTTCTTGACTGTTACTGCCATTCCAATGTTAAGTTAGGTTCCCGCTTAGTTAGACGGTTACTGAAATTCACGTTCTTCTTACCGGCAAACAGCGCCTTTAATGTGTTTCACCATTCTGACGTGTAGTCTTGCCTCTACTCTAAGCTTACGTGCACGCAGGCAAACCGTGATAGCGATTCTTCGCTTTAAACTCGTTTAAAACTGTGCAGCTGCTCAAACAAAAAACGTGCGCTGCTGGTCAAAAGCATCTGAACACTTGGCTATTCCTGGCAGGGTGCAATTTAATTACAGAATCGCAAGTAAAAATTATACATTGACCAATGAATCACACAGAAACTGACCAATTCATCGATCGAACTTGATGAAATCGTAAATGGAAACGCAGAGGAAAGTGAAAATTACAAATATTATTTTGAAAAGTTCATCTTAAAATTCGCGATCGTTTATACTATCTCCGTAACGAATAAACTCATGAAAATAAACCCTACATCTGTTGAGATGTTGAATGCTAATTGCGTTCTTGATTAATAAAATTAGGGGAAATTAGTATGTAAAATGATGTTGATCATGGAGTTTGGCTTCTGAGAGGCTCAAATAATAACTACGTTCTGCATTTGTTATTTTATATTTTCTAGCTGTTAGTTGCTTATTAATTCATATATTTCACGTTCATGCATTGTTGCTATAAAATATACGTAAAATGTCCAGATACTTACAAACGGCAATGTAGCCGAATGTGAAAAGCAATTCTAGACAAAATTCAGTCCAATTCCTGACATTGAATATTTCGAGCTTTACGATAAATAAAAATCTCCGTTCTATTCATACCAATAGTTTAAATTTTTAAGTTTGAATTTGCACAAAGCACCCAACGCGCAACACAAAACCACTGTCACGTCCTTCTCGGAAACACATCGCAGCCCAGTCGGAACTAAAGCAAAGGCCCGCCGGTCACAGACTACACTCCGAGGATTGAATATTTTTGGGAAGCTTTAACAATGTCAGTCGACTCAGTACAAACAAGGCAAGTTGGTCAAAGGTTGAGTAAGTATTTGTATCTGTTTCTCGGAAGGTGGGAAAGCTGTCTGAACAATTTCCTGTTTCTGCACTTACCAAGCGGATTCTGCAAGTTCCTAATTAAAACAAACTATCTTGCCGAACCCGCGCCTTCCTTCCGTCTTTAAATGTTCTCCATTCGATCTTTATTCGCCGCCTTTCCTCTAATCGTTCCCTCGTATATTTGCCTTTCCCCTAATCGTATTACTTCAACTGTACGCCACTCTTGATATCATTCGCCGTCTATATACGTTCACCTTGGTACGTAGCAACAATCCATTCTCTGCTTTTCGCCAATTTATCTCAACTGCCTCGTTGCGACGAGGGCAAGAGAATCGCACCGACACATAGACTCGTTCAATTTTCTATTTCTTACTCGCGAGGATACGGCCGCGTTTAAAGCACATGGCGTGGAAACGCAGTCGCCTTTCTTGCTTCCGCCACTTTTCCCCTCTTCTCCTACTTTCTATCCGACGGT